TTGAGGAGATGCGCGGAATGAACTTCCCAAACGAGCTCCGCTTGCTGTCCTGCAGGGAAGCACCTTTAACATGGCTTTTAGGATTCCTCACCGGGGTAAATCAGAACAAGGGCTACATACTATAGGAGGATATCTGTCAGAACCTACAAGAAGCTCGCAGAGTGCTGAAAGCGAAGCAAAATTGTCGGTCACGGATCCGCTTCTGAAACCCCAAACCATGAGCCTAAATCATTTGCACCAATATCTAACCATGTAGGGAACAAATAGGCTGCTTCCCGCAAGCAGTGCCTTTGTTTCACATGACGTCATCAACACGTACCCCCAATATTCTCAAGCGGAATGTCATTGGCAAAGATTCTTGTCGCACTGTCGCCCAAGCCAAATGACCAGCACCTTCATGACAAAAGATGAAAAATCAAGCAATGACAAACCAATATGTTCAAAGTAACGGGAATGTCTGATCTAGACGCAATGCCCGGAACTCAAACAGTGACAAAGAAAAATCTTAGCAATAATACCTCATCTAGAGGAAATGACACTTTCTGTAAAGCCACGAAAGGCGGAAACACATAAGAAACATATGCAACATACGGGTCTGAAGGCTATGTGGACGAAAGAAATTTTGCAGGAAAGGGGACATTTTTGAGGTGTGGAAGATGAGAGAAAACTTTACGCGATAACGCATACCAAGTCTGCAGTCACGTGGAACACAGCGTTGTCCGTGACTGTCCTCACGGTCCACCACGTACAGCCGGGCCAGCGGCCAGACATTCCACGATGACAGCTCGGTGCCCGAGCATCATGACATCATCTACGGCCGAGCAGCTTCCTCAAAAGGAAGGTGTCAGTGCCCCATAATTCACCACTATGATTGGCGAAGCCCCAGAGCAACTTCTGTTGGAGAATACGACAAACAGCCTGTGTCCCCAGTTGTTGATAAGTTCTTGTTGTGGCTTGCAGCAAGATTGGCCTGCGTGATTGCAAGGCTGCAAGCTCTGGACAATGGACAGGACTATCGTAACCCCAAGTCTACACGAGTTTTTCTGCAATCTAAGGAAACCCAGGACCCTGTACCATGCTTTTGTGGCCTTCTAGATTGCCTGCAAGGTCTGCAACTAAAGCTTGGCTTCACGTCGCCAAAAAAAGAAAGCATGCTCAAATCAACCGGCTGCCTGACTTCCGTGGTGACACCTCGTGTAGGAATGGTTTTGTCAGTGCAACTCGCCACACGGCTAAAGTGCTCACAAGATCTCGCAACGCAGTTCCCAATAAGCATGCACTAAAACTCGCTTCTACCAAATGCTGTTCACAGGTAGTCCGCGCCATCACACAACGGTGCATTTTCACTGCATTTTGTCAATACTCCTGCATCTTAGGCAACGTGACATGCACTCCCGTAGCACGACTACATGTTGCATGAGAGGTGGAACACACCTCCACATTGTGTTCTGTGTTAAATGTGATTTTGTAAGGTATCCCAAGGTATTGCATGGTATAGACCAATGCTACGTCGATATGATTTCATGCACTCCAACTGCACATCAGCAAGCCCCAGCAAAACATCCGGCCTTCGGAAACTGCGTTGATCAGCAGCAGATGCATGCATGTGCATTGGCAAAGGGCTCTTTTCCAAAAGTCCGAGCCCACCCTCACATCGGACATAGCGCAACACGCTGAAAAATTATACCCAGAAAGTGTGTCCTACCAAGGACCAGACAATGCCTGGAAACGCTGATTGCAGCTTTTCCCTCCCCATCGCGGCTCCACCCACTTTTCCTCAGTAAACTTGGATGTGGTGCTAACTACGGTTTTGAATGCACTTTTTGCGTATTGAAACCTAAGCACTGGGATCTTGTGTTCGACGCTTGCATTTGCAGTTGGAAGCCCACGGCGGCCTGCATCGGAATCTTTGCGTAATGCTTCGGCACAAGGATTTGTTTGTGGTAGCCTAAACTTTGAAGGGACATGGTATGTGTGTTGAATAGCCCATTTCGGCTTTGAAGCGCCGAGCGGAGTCTGCGCTGCAATCACTCGGTTGTGCAAAAGCACGTATAGAAACCTTCGGAGCAAATCCTACAGAGAACTCATCGTGGATTTCAAATGCTCAAGCTTTTTTATTCCGGACTCAGCCTGAGATCTGTGTATAATTTGTTTGTAGGCGTTTACGGGGCCGTTCTTCACCAGCCTCTGGCAGGTTCAACAAAGTTGCAGGTAAAAGCATGCCTCAGAAACCAGCATCCCAATGGATTGAAAGATTTCGTTGTTGACAGCTTCAGCTGGAGAATTTTCAGCATTCTCAGTGTAATCTAAGGTTGAAACCATGGGCCCTTAGTATGGGCCCTTAACCCTGGGATCCTCATATACCTACTAACTATAAACCCTGTGTCTATCCTTAAGGGTTCCTAGAATCCACCCAAAAAAGCCCAAAGGGCCGTCTTAGTGGCTCGTATTTGTAACCTTAGATGTAAGTTCGCCCTAGTGGAGCCCTTCCGAACTGCAATGCGCTTGTTTCGTCCTTAGATTGATTTCTGGCCTTCATTTCCGTGTTTCCCCAGTTCCCCACGGCCCCACCCGAAGGGGTCATACCAAAACAACACCAATCACCCTGAAGCCGCAAACATTACATTCCTAGGATGTCTCTCTACCCTCTACCCACAAACGTTTGTCTTAAATCCGTCCTCCAGCGAGTAAGGCGGTTCCAGCTGAAACCCATCAGTGCCGCCGCAGGCGTCCCAGTAGATGAAGTGGAACTTCCTTTCGGGGAGCTTGGCGCTAAAGGTTTCGAACTTAAGCTGAGGGGTCAAGGGCCATGGGGTAGAACGTGGCTTTTGAATTGTTTTGTCTTATCCTTCTTCTCCACTGGCACGGGCCTAATCTTTTTTGCTAGTTTCTCGCTGTGCTGTGTTCGTGGCATTACCCACCATTGACCACAGATAATCATCCAGAATTATATCAGACCACGTAGTGCTCCAAGGTGTCCTCAAACACCGGGACTTCTAGTACCTAGATCCAGGCACGAAAAATCTACATGGCGCTGCCTCCCAGCTATGAGAAGATTGCCCCTCGGAGCAGTGCAGAGCACTTTGAGTCCATTGCTTAGGGTCAAAGGGTCAACCAATGAGAACCCCCACGTAACTTCAGGCCCCACACTGCACCCTGCAGATTGACCTCCAACCTCGACCCCCCGCAGGTAGCTGAATTTGCAGAAGTGTGCGACATCCGAAAACACTCGTTGTATGTTGTGCTCTCATAGCTCCCTACCAACGACTGCAAATGAAGACGGTTGCCGGCAAGATTCAACTCTATACAAAACCAGGTCACTGTCTGTCCTAAGCAGACACTGCTGCCGTTGCTTGCTAGAATTATGAGCGATGCAAACGATTGGGTACATCACAGACACTCATATCGTAACATCAGTTCCTTCAGTCCCCTAGAATACCTCTGCAGAATCTCCCACAGCTTGTGTTGCATGCGGAGAAAACTCACATGAAAACAAAGGAGAAAGAAGGGGGAAAACAGCTAAATCTTGAAATACATACACGACAGCCAAGAAACACGACATGCCACAAAGACGGTCAAGCATCCAAGAAAACAAAGGCATTGACAAGAAATCCTACTACTCATTCTTGCTACAGTAAGATGAAGGCGATGAGATGAAGCTAGTAAGGCTATCGTCGTCAAGCATAAAAAGCCCTACCCGAAAGGAGTGCAGAATCTTACTCTACATCGGGGGCTGCCGCCAGGAGTCGGCCCCTTGGCCTGCCACTGGTCATCACGGCCATGGCGATCATCACACTCATCGTGCTCATCGGGCTCATCGCGCTTTCGCCGCACACCAGTTTTCGCCCCGGACCAGAGCCGCGGCACGGCCATGGCATGGGCTTTGCCTATCAAAGTCCTTATATGGGTTGAAGGTCTGCTCTTCGAGGGTTGTATAAGGACATATAGGAGCATGCAAATCTTGGTTGTGCATGGAGATGTGTTGGTTTAGGGTGAGAGGTGGGTGTCGGATTTACGTTGGTGACTGCAATGAGGTTTCACGGTTGGCGGCTCGTGTGATCCGGCCGTACATTTTCATCCCAACAGAACCTAAAATGGTTCAAAACATGGGGATCTGGTGCATTTAGGAGATTAAAGGTCCAGTAGTCTAGGTGCTGGGGCTCAGGGCAGGCTCCCCAGAGGCGATGTCGCTTCTTCGGGACGTGCGCGGTGAGTAGGAACGCCCCACAAGGCATGGAAGAGATGGATTTCTTAGGGCTTCTGAGCTTGGAGGGAGGGGCATGAGATCTAAGCAGCTGCAAAGGTATGTCATGATCCAGATTTTGAAATCTACACGGGTTTGCCCTGCATCCGTTCTGAGTCACACCAATGAACCCCACAATCAGCCTAAGCGGGGCCATGTCATCATAGGTCGCATACTATTCACTTGAAACACTGACCTTCTATGGGAACAATCTATGCCTTCGACACTGAACAATCCAAATCCTACATGCCTGGAGCTCGCGAAGCCAGGCACAACTGATGCAGGAAGCACGCTTGTTAAGACTGACGCCGCAGTTTATTTCGGCCAATCTTGGACCTTCATGCCAAAGTGCGTGGGACAGAGACTGTGTCCAAGTTTAAGCTCGGCAAACCTGTGACCCGACTTGCCATCTGACACGCCCACTTCAGCAAAGAACTACCGTGACAAAATCTCAAGCCCAACACTTCAATTTTACATGTCAACCCTAGACCCTTCACCCACACCAAAGCCTTCATCAAGTCTACGTCCACAAGAAGACACGCCGAATTCTCAAAGCTGGAGGTCCCTTCCTCATAGCAAGGACAAGCCTGATTTTGTGTGGGTAGTGCAGGGCACGGAATTTCAAGCGATGTTCCAACGTAACCAATACTATCCAATGAAGGACTGCACTTTCCATACATGGTTCACCACAATATAGACCGCCAAAACATTGCTTCTCGCTGTGAAAGAATCGCAAATAGCAACGTCTAGATCACGCCTCCTCTGCATTCTCCGTGTCTGCGCGAATACGCGCAGTACTTCGAAGCAGTGCAAGTGCCTTCAAAGACCCTCCTAGTAGCCTTAATTGGCGCTATATACTCTTTATATATATAGTGGTCATGTGGGCTATACATATATATATATATATACATATATATATATATATATATCGCGTGTATATGGGGTTATGAACAGGAATATGGCAGAATCACATGAAAAGGACAATGGAGAATGAATTGTAACCTGCAATGGTGCCAAGACCCTTCCAGTACCCGTAATTGCGGATGTATGGCCCATCATAGTGGGTACTTGTGCTCTAATAGAGCTTATTTGGAAGGGTCTAGGTTCAGTCAGGCAGCTGGTGTTAGTGTTGGGCTCGGGCTTAGCGTTGATAATTAGTTTGCGGGTTATGGTTTCGCTTTTTTGCTGCCATTCCACTATTTTTTCATTGCTCACTGTGAATTTGGCATCAGGTAGCTCTCTCCTTGCTACGCTTTTGGAGTATCTTTGCGCTTAGGAGACGTTGCTGAGATCCTTGGAACACTTCAGACAAAGCGTCCGAACACCTGAATGCAAGATAATTTGTCTCAGAGGTACGTGTGTAGCCTCTAGAGGGTTTCAAGAAGACATGCCCAAAGATCCTCCAAACTCTCTGGAAGGTCTCAGTCTTAACCTTCAAACCCTGAGCCCTACGCCGTAAAGCCATGAATCCCACAGCCCAAAGCCCGTCACACTTTCAAACCCTAAACCCCTACCCCAACTCCGGGACCCTAGAACCCTTACACCCTCAGTACGTGATCCTTACAGCCCTAGAATGGGTTGCTGTCAAGAAACTTAATTTGGTTACTACTATCATAAGGAAGCCCCCATTTTCGCTGTATACTCATCTTCTGGTAACTTAAAATGAATTCCTTAACAGCAACAGCGAAGAATCCCTGGTCGGCAAACCCAAAACCATAAGCCCCTACACGACTGGCCCGAAACAAAATATTTTCCATTATCCCTAATATAATCCTTATAAAACCCTATTTTGATATAGTAGTTTCCATCTTCTTTTCCATGATTCCTATATAACCCTAAGCCCTAAACCCTGAATAGTAGTTTCCATTTTCTTTTCCATCACTCCGAATATGATACCTATACTATAATCCTTATCATACAGTCTGTTTCCATTTTCTTTTCCATTATTCCTATATACCAAAGCCATATCGAGCCTCATTCTGATGCTCTTGGCCAACTTTTTGGGCCTCGGCCACCTCGCCTCCTGGGACGGATTTTAGGGTTTAGGGTTCATGGTTTATAGGAGTTAGGGTTTAGGATTTAGGGTTTAGCATTTAGGAATCAAGGTTTGGGGTTTAGGGTTCAGGACTTAGGATTTAGGGTTTAGGATCTGGGATTTAGGGCTTAGGATTTAGGGTTTTGGATTTGGGATTTAAGGTTTACCGTTTAAGATTTGGGGTTAAGGGGTTGGGGTGGGGATCCTTTTGGCAGGGGTTTATTGGGGGCCCCGACTGCTGGAAAGATCTTTATCTCGCAAAAGTTGCGTAAAACGGCTAGGCCAATAGTGGAGTTCAAAAGCTACATTGGGAGATCAAACACAAATTCTACAAGGCGTGCTGGGGACGAAAAACCTGCAGACTTTGGTTGTGCCGCGAAAATTTCGGTGCTATGTGGCCTTGCTTGGAGGGTCAGGGGGTATCCCACATAACCCATCATAATGAGCCCAGCTATGCCGCGAATTAACCTGCTTACAAAGTCCCCCTGACCTTCAGTAGGGGACAACTTAGAGGAGGGAAGTTTGGATACAAATTGCGATACCTTGGCGCGTAGATCTTAGGTGGCCCCCCCACCTAGTAACGGTGACTATACGTGATAGTCCTGGTTATAATGGGACCCTCCTGCACTCTCACTATGCTCTATTACAGGGTGGGGGTAGATCAACTGAGTCTCCAACTTCATCACATCTATTGATGAGCTTCTAGGCACCTCTTAGGCCCCTTGCCGTAATGTTGCACTCACTATAATGAAGAGGTAAGAGGTCCTCTTTGCCGTGCTTCGGCGGCCGCATCAACAGTGGTAGGCAGATGTTTGCAGACCCTCATTCATGTGTTTGGGCTTTGGGGTGCCAAAAAGAAGCAGGTCCATCCACTTTAAGCCACCCTCCATAGCCCTGAAATTAAGGGGGCCGTACAGGACATGCGTCTTTCAGCAGGGATCGCGCTCCACCAAAGCTTTCATAGTGGCCGAGAACCAAACCACATGTCCGCATTTCTCAATATTACGCTTGCCGTAGCCCATCGAATGAGGCAAACTTCCCAGCATGAACGGACCACTTGCTTAAGAACCCGCCCAACCGACACTCACTGATGTTGCAAATCTGAGGCTGGTTCGCCAAACATGGACCAGCTTGTGACGGCCCAATTCGTACTCCTGCGCCTCCTCGGGGTCAGTTCCAGTGCTAGGGCATGCTTGTTGGCTTTGTGCACTGCTTGCTGTTGATTTGTGGGATTCAGGTAGGGATTATGACAGGAGTATGGAAAAGGTTTGGAGGTTGGGGCTGAGGGTTCGGAGAACAAGGTGTAGCTTAGGCTGTGGGGCTTTGGCTTCGGGCTGTAGGGCGATTCAGAGCCGGTGGATCATTCAAGAATCGGAACGCAGGATGCTAAGGGTAGCAGCTCAAGCAGGAGCTCGGAAATGAGATCTGAGTAGTCGCCTTAAAAGGCAACTGCAAGTGTACAGCTGACAACCAACCTCAAACTTGGAACCGCTAGATCTGTCGAGAGCTGGCCAAATGAACTTCAGCCTCCCAAGGCCTCTGATGCGCACCCTAAGCCCCAAACCCAAAAACCCTAACCCGATTGAGTTGGGTATGTAGTCTACACTCCTGATATCCTCTGTCCCCTATATAACACCCTTTAAGGAGTTTAGACTATAGCTCATATGCTCACAGAGCTTAACCGTTAACTTAACCTGCAGAAGAGATATCTCGTAGGCATGGTTTGGCCTCATATGCTCTTGGGAATGAGAATTCAGGGTTCGGGATTGGGGGCCAAAGATCCAGGATGCATGGCTTAGTGTTGGTAATTAGGAGTTGTCGAGGAGACTTCCCGTACACACTTAAGCGACGTAAAAAAGGCCCGCAACGCTTCCAAAAACTCTGCACTCTTCAGTTGTTATAGAAACCGCATGAGGCCCTGCTGTCAGACGAGTCGCTACCGTTTTGCGCAACTCCGCCCCTCCGCCCTGGGTTCTGCGAGCGCGCTCCTTGAGGCGGTACGCTGGGCTTGGAATTCAGGACTTGAGGCCAGGATCTCCTGTTCAACATTACTTATACCCCCAAACCCTAAATTCTAGGGTTTTCAGGCTTTGGATCCGGAATCAGGCCAGATGCCTTACCGTGCAAGATGATTTTCGACCCAGGAATGGTTTAGAGATGGGGGTTTTGAGCCTCAGGCTTTGGATGTTGGAACGGATGCTTGGCTCAGGGCTTAAAGCTTGTGGATGACGGCTGCTTGGGCTTTTCTAGTGGTTTTGAGGCTGTCGGGATTTCAGAATTCGGACATCTGGGTTGCTACATTGTTAGACGCCCTGGAACAGACGTGGAACACATAACGTCCTAAACCATTCGCCATTCAGCCCAAGCTCCCAAACCCTGAATCCTGCACTCTTCCCTGTACAGCTTGAAACCCGTTTCCCTAAACTCTAAGCCCTAACTCTCGAAGCCTAAATCGCCTAAACCTGCTTGCCCCCTTTCCTCAAGCTGCGCAGCCCGCTGCCGCAAGGGCTCCTGCTGCCTCCGAAGGGCGGCCGCTTCCTGCAGCGTTGCTATCAAAGGGGGTCTTATGAGAGGCTTAGTGAGTAGGTTAATAAGGGGGATAGCTAGGTTCCTATGTAGATTATCGGGGCTATTAACCTGCTTACCAAATCAGTCCTACGTAGGAGTTTCAAAGCAGAGGGATGTGTACGGTTCACTGCTTCTGATGTCTGACTTTAGGGCTTGGGTTTCTTGATGTTTGAGTCTTTAGGGTTTCAAAATTTCAGCGGTAAGGTTCTGGAAAACGGCTCCGTGTGGTCTAAGGTTCCTGGCTTCAAGCATGTAGGGCTTAAACGGACAGACACTACTTTTTGGAGACCTGAATGTCATTGCGGCTAGGATCTTCTTTCTCGCAAGCGCAGAGGCAACCAGCCTCCGGGCAATAAGGTTTCAATTTCAGAGAGACATGCTAGCCGACCTAATGCCTGCAAAGCGACCTACGCTGACACTCAGACACCCATATGAGACACAGTCAATGCGAGTTACAAGGCGGGCATTGCGTACGCCAGAAGCCAGAAGACGCCTCGAAGGAATTAATCGAGGCCAATCCTCAACTTCTCGAACCCTAAACTGAAAATGCCTGCGAACGCCCAAGCCCCGAACCCCTAACTCTCAAGGTTGCCACGGCACCTCTCTGTTTCTCGTGGCTGCGGCCTCCTGACAGATGGGGACTTGAAAAGCTGTAGCACAGGGCGCTGAGGCTTGGGTCCTTCAGGAAAAACTACTCTTGTGCAGACAATCAACGCTCCGCTCTGCTGTTCTTGTGCTGTTCCCTCCTCTGACTTGTTGGGCTAGAGACGCTCTGGGAGTCTGGGGAGGGATAGATTCCACGCCGTGCGCGATACAGATTTGGATCTAAGCAGTGTGTCTGTCCGACTATCAACCGCTTGCTGGACTGAAATCTCCAACCATCCGTCATCCTTCTGGCTTGCACCTGCACAGCGTTTTCTGCAAGGTCCTAAGATGATTGAATCTTATCCCCGCTCAAAAATGCTACAAGCCCAAAAAGCCTGGACCTCCCACTCTGACGTCCTAAGCCTGCAATACCTGCAAAGTCCTATGCCGATCTGAGGAACTGCAAAGCAAAGGCAAAAGGCCCCAAGGTCACGCAGCCGAGGCACAAACGACCGAATCTGCTCCTGGTCTTCCAGAAGCTGTGCCTCTGCGATGATGGGGTTTAGGATCTTCATGGCGTGGCCTTGGGGTATCAGTGGTCTCAGGGGTTTGGGCTTTAGTTTTCGGTGTGCCGAGGATCTGGGGCACAAACATTGTTGGGCTTCAGGACTCCAGACGGCGGGTAAATTGTACGTTCTCAGTGCTTGCGCTCGTCCGCACCGGCGGCCTGGATGACTAGATCATGCTCTCTTCATCTTACGTTGGTTAGTAGGGAATAAAGGAATATAATATATGAGGATTATAATGGGAGTATATTGCCTTATTCCGTATTAACCACCAGCAAGTTGTTAAGAAGGGATGTATCACTGCAATAACCTAACAGTGGCAGTCTCAATAACCCATCAACCCATCCCTGAGACTCGTTGGTGACTCGGGTTTGACAAGGTTAGGCTTCATTGATATGATTTTGCCAAGGAGATATGCATGCAACAGCTTAGGGATGAGTTAGCAGTGTTTGCTGACGCATCGCACACGGAAGAATCCCAATGCCCTGCACATTGGCTACTTCCTATCTGAGACTTGCACACGCTAAGGATCTCAGGTCAGTCCCCATCACAGTAACAGTTTAGAGTTGTAATTGCCCCCGACAAGGCCCCTCTAAAGGCAGCCACTGTAAGGGGGAATGACCTAAGGCATTCCAGGAGCTCTTCGGACTCCCACCCTACCCTCAACCGGAAGCTCTCAATCAAAGCCGGCTCGCCTCCAACTCCTCTCCCACCCCTCTGTAATGTTCCTGCTTCAGCTGACTGCGGAGCGATCAAGGTTTATGATTCGGAATTGGGGGTTTCGGTTTCCGAGCTACGGGCTTCGGGCACGAGGAAGCGCCCAGGTCCTGACAGCCCACCTGACACCTTCCCACACGGCCTTCGGACATGTCAGTCTTGAAAAACCACGAAAGCACTTCTACTGAACAGTGCTGCAGCAACGCTGGACTTCTCATAGGGGACTTCGGATCTTAATCTGGACGTTGGGACGAACACCAACCACTACTGTAGACCCAAACGCAGTTTGGGTACGACCAGTGGACAAGCCCGCTCAAAGTAGGTTTTGAACTCTCACCCCCTGCATCGCAAATTTTGAAGGAGACCCACCTTCGTCAACCTCGAAGATGTCAAAACAACCCTTGCAATCTGCACGCCCAAGACAACTTCCTAATCTGTCAAGGAAACCTTACTCAGGGTTTCTTGCTGAACCAAACCAGAGCTGAGGTGTCCCCCAATACATTGTCCTCCCACCTTGCAGGCCCCAAGCATCGGAAAAAAGGGTTTGGGGCTAAAATCACAGAAGCCATGATGTCCCAAAGCTTAAACCTTTCACAAGACTTTCCTTTGACGTCTTAGTACACCTAATGCCCAAATCCAGAATCCAAAACCAGGTCCTGCTCATGGCGGAGCTGGACCCTATGTTTGGTGTCCTGAGCGTTTGGGGGGTTTGGGTTGGTGGGATGCGGTCAGATGTGGCAGGAGTGGGGTGCAGACTGCGTGAAAAACTGTATAGAAGGCTGGCCCAAGTACATAAATGCTGCGTTTCTTCTCTTATATTCTTGAACAGACATGCAGTGATTACACCCGAAATCAGGGACCCATTTCAACATCCCTTTGACATTGTTCAGAAGCTGTGTAATTAATCGACCACCTTCCTTCCTCCATTAAAATTATGTAGGCATCTATCTTATTCCAAATGCACAATGTCGAAGTGCAGTGAACGCTAGAGCCCAACCCCATAAACGGAAAAAACCGGAGCATTAAACCTTAAGCCCTCATCCCGAGCCCTCAACCGAAGCCTTGAAGCACCATAGGCCATCAACACTCAAACAACCACCAACTCCTCAACCCTGAGCCGCAAAATCCTGAATCCAAAACCCCCTACAACCGCAGCCCTCAACCCATGACTCCTCCCTCAACTCCCGAAACTGCTAACCAGGACGAGTGGCCATGAGGCGCCCCTCGCCCCAGCCTCGATTCGTGGAGCGCTGTTCCTGGTGCAAGGGCAAGATCGCAATGATTCATGAGAGTTTTGCGGGCTATCCTAAGGCTTAGCAGGTGAACCCATGAAAACATTACACTAGTAATCCCTAGTGCTGAGGTTTCAGCTGGAAACAAAAACATCGTGCCACGGGCAAAAGCCTCAACTTGACAACTCACAATTTTGCGAGGCGATTCTAGAACGACTCGGACGCGATGAGCCGATCTTCGCTCAGGGAATCTGGAAGCCTACTGCTGCTTTGGCCCAGTTGAGGCTTCATATTCACCTACATAAACAATTCACCTACATAAACAAACAGACCGCCGCCTTGCTACTGTCAACACTTTCAAGGTGAAGCTTCCTGTTGAACTGGAATCCCTGGGAGGCTCTTCATGCAATGTATTGACGTTTGTTCGTGTCCCTGGCAACTTGAGACTGTCCGAGCTCACGCATACGCACTGTGGGTCGGAGCAAGAGATCCGAACTATCCCAGCAGCTTGACGACCCCTCCCTAAAATTTCGAAGTTCCGAACAAGACTGGCGAACGTGCTCCAGCACAGCCACTCGCCCCAGAATCATGTTGGTGCAAAGCACGATCAAAACTTGCAGCAAACTTGCAGCGAGCGTTTTTTTGCAAGTAGCAGCTGCGGACCATGGCCGATCCCTTTGCAGCCGCAGTGCTTCCCAGCAGTTAGGGTGTGAAACAAGAAACCAATCAGCTTTTGCTCGGTGGAGAAACCGCTGTCGTTGCCGATGACGAGGTCAAACACTTTGGTCTTCGCAAAATCAAGCAACTCATTCTTTGAGCCTGGGCCCAGGGGCAATCACTGCATGTCAATGCCAACCTTCATGACGGCCTGCAAAGGCACAGCAAAGGAACCATGCAAGCCAGGTATTGGACGCCCAAGTGGTATTTTCGGGGAGGCCCTGGGCAAGCGTCTCATTGACGTGATCACTCGGAGGAGGGCTGTCCATCTGCGCAACATGCTCGGGCTCTGTCCTCAGTAATTACTCCGCTCATGTACGAGTTTCAACACATTGGGGGGTGCCCTTGGAAACCTCCAGGTGTAGAAGATTTATGACGTGATTTGAGGGGTGCCTTTGAGGAGAATTGCCCTATCGACAAAGACCAATGTAATTAACAAGATCCCCTTGTGGCGCCCATGCAACAGAAATGATGCTTGAAGGGACGAGGCTCTGGTCAACAGGCTGATTGACATGAAGAGTCGGGCTTTTGTCGCTTTTCGAAGGCGGGGCACTGACTTCTTTGTGGTCTTGGTTCGATTTAGACTTACTGCACTTGCACTGCTTGTTTGCCTCCTTTGCCTGCTTTGCTTTCTCAGCTTTTTGCACCAAGAACGTTTGCTGTGCGATGCGTTCTGATCGAAGTTTTTCCTTGCTCCTGAGCTTGTGCGTTCCAGGCTTGTTGCCTGCAGCCAAAGCCGTCTCAAATCCTTTCCGCTGAGCTGCACGTGTTGCAGCTCTGGCCTTGCTGACTTCTTGCCGCTCCTCCTTGCTACAGCATGGTTTTGATGGGCCATTGAGGTCGTAGAGGAGAACATTCATGGCATCTTGAGCCCGCTGAAACGCTGAGGCCGAACCACCCTTGTCCGGATCGTGTTGCAAAGCCTTGAACTTGAAAGCCTTCCGGATCTCATGCTCGCCTGCCCCGAATGGGAGGTCGAGGATGCGATAGGAAGCATCCACAGCTGTGTCCATGATGGCCAGTTCAAATGCCGGCTGCAAGCTTGGACTTATGCACGAAGCATCTGCGAGCGGGTCTCGTAGAATGGCAGAAGCCAGAAATGCTAGCGGATCAGACACACTTAGGACATCTCCGACGTAAGCAGGGCTTAGGCAACAAGCCCTGCAATCACAAAGTTTGTTTCGTATTGTATCAGAAACAAGCACACGCAGGCATGCGGACCCTGTACTCAAAACCGTAAACCCGAACCCTCAAGCACAGAACCCTATAAACCCTACAGAACCCTGTAAACCCTAAACCCAAAATCGCAGATCTGGCCTGCAGCTCCACTCGAAGCATCGCTGACTCCGCTGAAAAGTGGGCGCGACGCGCAAGCAAGTCGGCCTCCGTCTCCTCCAGCAGCTCTTGCGAAGTTTGGCTAAATTGAAGAGTTCTTGGAAATTTGGGTGAATTTGGTAGGTTTGGTGAGATTTAAGAATTCAAAACAATTTGGGTGAAAAAAATGGTCGCGAATTGCCTGGGCTTGAGCTGGGCGTCCGTCGGAGAATCTTTCTGAGCGTTCGTAAGCATGGCCGCAAGGTCCTATGAGTATGACCATTGTGCATATGGGACTGTGGGGCTACCGGCAGCCTCTGTCTCGAGGACTTGACCATAGACGCAAAACCCACCCTAAATCCTGAAGAGCGAACGCAAGAGCTACAGTTACATCCAAAGACTACTGACTTTCAGGACATACTCCCTTCATTCGTCTAAGCCGTTTACGCATAAATTGTGCTAGGACAATGCGGCAGATGTTGCGCTTCCGTATTTCCAGTCCCTCACCTTATACCCAACGCTTTATCCACAACCGTAGCTCCTGAAACAAAACCAATCCAAACACATCATACCAGAACTTATTATCCTTGCTGAAGCGCGAGCCCTTAATACCCGCGCATCTACACTAGCACCACTTCACAGCGCTCCCGAGCATTGTGAATTCTGGCTTGCATGACCTCAGCGAGATAAAAGAGCCATGAATAGGATTTTGTCTCTGACTGCTGTATAGAATCCTTACTAGGCACCGCCATGAATTGTAATCCCGATAAACATGTAGGGCCCCCGAGGGCCCTCTGTTTTGCATAAGTTGGTGTGGTGATCGCACTGCTTTCAGCCACACAAGGGGTTGCACGGCGATCTGTCTGTAGGCAGGGCTGCTGATTGATCTGAAGTGTGTAGGGCTAGCCAGCTGTGACAGCTACGGCAAGCTGTGCCTTTGAGATACCATGTTTAGACATCCCGTTCGTTCAAGATGCTATGCGCCTGCAGCTTGGAATTACAGTGGCCCCTGGGATGCTTGATATCTTTTTTTTGACATGAAACCGTATAGCAAAGTTGAAGCTCCAAATCGCCAGGGCTGCTGAAGCCTGCTTTGTTCTCATCGATAAATGTTAGTCTCCATGCTGACTCCAGGTTTAGGGATGAAGGGTTGAGAGATCAGGGTTTAAGGTTGAGAGTGTTTAGGGCTGTAAGGTCTTTCTTGCATAAAATACAACCAATAAGCCAAAAGCAACATTCATATGTCCAAATATAACCAGATGTGACACACTCTTTCGGGGTTATATGTATATGCCTACTACCCTGAGGCTCCTGGACCCCCATAGTGAGATCCCGACCCTTAGCCTCCAAACCCAAAGCTTCCCCCAGAAAGCCCATTGCAGTCGATGGAGCCTCAGGGCATGACTCGACTTCAAAACCTTAACCAGGCCTGAGATCCCCAACCTTTCTGCCCCCAAACGAAGCGCGCCCCACATGCTCATGCACAAGCCCTAAACCCTACACTCGAATATGGATTATAGGGGGTATTCACCATCACTAAGTCCGCCTGAATCTCCAAGCGATCCTCAGCCAAACCGTTGATGCCTGAGGACAATGCTAGAAGCTCCTCCTTGAGGTCAGCGGTGGCATTCTCTTTGGCCTGCCGTGGTTCCAATTGAAAGTGCTTCGTTCCGGTCTCAGAATCTTGCTTAGGGTTCTGGGTTTCAGGATTTCAGGTTTAGGTTTGCTTTGATGTCATGGCTGGAGTCAGGTTTGCAGCAAAGGCCAGCTTCCGCAGCGCGTGGGTATGAAGCAAAAACTGCGCTTTTGGGGGCCAGGGGCGTAGATATCTACAGTCCCCATTAGTGCTGCGCCCTAAACCTGAACGTGCCCATCAGGAGCCTCCTGGTAACGAGCAGTAGAAGGAGTTTTCAGGACTTGACAGAAGCCTGACCCCAGTGGACTCCAGGTCTGCAAACCAGCGTAACTCCACGGTCAATACTCGGACGAAGCGCATCATTCTTGCCATGCATGCTGCCGTTGTGAAACGACTGAAGCCCGAGCCCATTACTGCAGTCTCCACTGTATCAACCAATTCCAGACCTGAACCCTACACTTCCCTTTCAAAACGCCCTGCCTCCACTTCCGTCAAGGGCACAACAGCGGCAACCTGGCACAATGAAGGCTAAATAACAAGTGCTGCTGGCTCTGATTGCATCCCCCAATTTAAGGCGCTCATCACGCTTTTGTTCCAGCCCAGTTCTCCTGTAGCCACGAGAGCAGGGAGGACAAGTTCGGCCACTCGGGAGAAGCGCTTTCGCTTCACACAGGGCGCGAGGTGGGAAGCCTGTCTAGATCGTGTCTCGTCTCACGGGAAATAAAAGCCAGCAGTGAAGGCGAAAGCCCATGTACGCAAGCTAGCAACCATTGTCGCAACAATATGGGAGCCTGACAGTTTGCTGCGCAAATTGATTGTATGAGCGTTCTCCGGCGCGGGCCCCCATGTCTGCGTCGGCCAAAAGGAGATACAGCAGGACAACTAGCAGCTCCACGTAGCGCTGTAGTTTAGTAATTACTGAATACATTGCTGGTTGTAGTTTGGTAGTGTTGAAGGTAGGGATCTAAGCAGGGCAAACGATCCTTGCAGCTTCCGGGCACATACCTGCAGACGATATATCCTATATGGTGAGGTTTCCGTGCACAATTTCCAGGATCAGTTTAGGCCTCCACATGGGCTGAAGGTTTACAGACCTTTTGCAGCTGGGTAGGGACCTGTGTCGACATGTTCTGTCGGAATTTGAGGCTTGCAGGACTTCACCGAAAACAGTTGAGAAAGCTTGCAGTGCTGGGGGGAAATTTAGGTTAGGGTTGCGTGCTATGCGCAGCTTGAGGTGCACTTGAGCATCACCGAAACTTACATCGCAGGCTCTCTACCAACGCCCTCCAGCTGTAAAACCCAACCAAATGCTATCAGCACTAGACTACCCTTTGAAGGATCAGGGTACTGAGCACGAAGCCCGAGCCTCCACGCTTACCCCGCTAAACCCTAAGCCCCAACTCTGGGCTCAAGCCTTGTGTGATTTCCAGCAACCCTGGCACCTGCTTCAGGAAGGCCTCCAAGGGAAAATCCTCGGCATCAAGAAGACCTCGCATGAGACTCTCAAGTTGGGGTGGCGGGTTAGGGTTTATAGTCCCCTGTGCGTAGATAGAATATGGGGTATATGGGAGTCTTATTATCATATACCCAAAGCCATATTCTATCTACTTAAGGGGGACTATAGGCTTTAGCCTTAACAGTTGCCATATGCTCTTCTGAGCTATTCTCGGCCATTCGACACGGCCCCATATGCACTCATGATATACAAAACTCATCCTGTAGGGTCACCTTGAATCACTCTGGCATGGCTTTGGGTATCGGGGCCTCATGTTCTGCGGTTTAGTAGAGAATGTGAGAACTGATTAGTTCATTAGTTCTAGGATTCACAAGCAACTCACCCGCCCCATCTTCCTGTGCAAACCTCTCCAGATCGAGGAATACCAACTTGGGATACGCTTACACCGGCGGTGTACCTACCGCCCGCTTGCGACATCGTCACGCCGGACTTTCAAGGTAGCAAAAACCACGCAGCTTCTGAGCCTAAGACCCTAAATCTCGGACATTCTAAACCCTCAATTCTGCCTGCCCACCACCCCGAATACCTCAAACCTGAACAACAGAATCCCAAACCTCTGAAAGCTTATACACCCAGAAATCCTTGAACCCTAAACGCTCTGCAGATCCTACAACACTGACAGTTGACGCCTCCTTTTTGGACATGAGGATGCAGGGCAGCCCGCCACTGGGCATACAGATCGCCTTCAGGTCAAACGGCTAGGGCAATGGCTTTCCGGATTTTGGCTTTTTGGAGCTTGGGGTGTATGGAGCTTGACGATTAAAAAACAGCACTTGGAGTTAAGACGTGCAGGTGGGCTCGCATCAAAACTCCTGTTGCCAAATACGGCCGCAGATTGTGGGTATCGGCTTTGGGCTTCCCCTCGTTTAGGGCATAAGGTCTCAGTAAACAGGATTGTAAAGGGGGATTGACGTTGGTTTCCTTGATCGAAAACAGGCTTTGTTGAAATGTTACAAAACATGACCGCCCGAAGTCATGTTCCGGAGGTGTAAACGAAGGCTTTTGGCTCATTTGACTTACTGTGGGTTTTCAGGGTGTGTTTTTGTGTGTGTGTGTGTGTAGGGTTTTCGTTTGGGCTCAACAACAGTTGCAACAGCTACCTTCACGCGCGCAGAGAATGATAATGGCATGCGTTCTGTCGCCACTGCAGCAAATCCGCAGCCAAGATGATTGCAATGACAGCATCCAACAACCTTGCCTTGACACAGAGCGGACATATCTAGGGTTAATTAAGGATTTAGGCGAGAGGAGTTGGATGAAAGAAGGAGAAGCAGAATGGAAGCTGAACACATAAGCCAAAATCCATGGAACAAGATGATGATGTAGAAACCATCGTGTCTGGAAAGCACCTCAAAAAACAGGCACAACTGTCATATCAACCACGGCTACATATCATAGACACGCTTAAGAACAGGAAGCCTAGATCCCAGTTCTAGCTCCACCCCAAAGACTTCGACATGAAACCAAGAAGCAACAGAAAGAATGCAACCAGTGCCAGGTCAGTCGCTTGCAATGCTGTCGCGCACGTGTTGATGCCTCCGCTCCACCTCTGGACCAGGCGGGTTTGAATGTGGGATTCAGCGATGTGGGTGTGGCGCTAGCGGCGGCAGAGGCGGCGGTGGCTATTGCGGTAGGGGGTGCCCAGACCCCGAAATCTTAGGAGCCTTTGCCCCTTACCTTGAACAGAGTTTAAACGAAGCTGTACATGTTGCTCGGAACATGTTCCCCTACACTATAAGCATACTGTCTCCAGAACCTGTATGCAAGAACATGCTTCTATTGCCCTGTAGGGAGCCCAGCAGTGTTTTGATATTCCCTCTGGAACTTTGACTCTTATATCTTGCCTGCGACAAGGCGTGCTGCAGCTGTCGAAGCTCATGATTTGTCTGGCACCGCTCTGCCGCCAGCTCCTCAAAATATACGTGTCAGGCGGATAGGAATTACTACAGCATGCAGGGTTAAGGGTTAAGGGTCAGGGGGACTTACTGTAGTAAGTAGGATAGGAAGTGGGATAGCTAGGGTTACCATGTGGTTTATAGGGGTTACAAAACCTAGTTACTAAGTCGCCCTGACCCGCCAAGCAAATCCTACAACCTAAACCCCAGTCTCACCAGCGCTAGATTACTGGGCCTTGCAAAGGCTGCGGCCACTGAGAAACATGCTTTGGCGTTCCTGTTAAGTGAAAGTTTCAGTTCCAAAAACAAGAATGTGCTAGGAAGTTGCTGGATAGCACTCGCAAGTCAGGTTTGTGGTCTGCCGACTCTTGGGGACAGTTTCAGGATTGAGGTTAGGGACCAGGGACACGAAACCCTATACATCCTTCAAATCCCCTAAACTCTCCCTCAACCCCCTTAAAAGCCTTTCCCAGGCCTCGGCCCGAGCCAGGCGCCTCGGGGCCTCAGCGGCTTGAGCCGCCTCGCGGCGGCGGAACTCCGCGGTGGCCTCGCAAAATCTGACTTTATGGGGACGAGGGAAACAACAACCCAAACGCATATTTTAGGTTTAGGGCGAAAATTGGAGGATTTCCCGAGACCAATAGTAGGGATACTGCAAAAGAAAGTGAAAAAACCACGTTGAACTGAGCAGGAATGGAAAAGAACATGGAAACCACAAACGTATTAAGGATTTCGGGATTACCAACATTTGGGGGTACCTTTTCATCATTTTGGGAGGCCTGCGGGTTGCCGGATCCCCCGCCCCAAGCCCCTCGGATCATCTAACTCAACCCTTCCAGCTTCTTACTGATGCTCAAGGGGGAGTGAGGGCAGTTTATCTCTGTGACTCTATGATCATCATTGAAAATCCTCATTAACAGTATCTATAGACTCCCTTAATCCCTAAAACCCTGAACAGTGTGTCACTTTCCATGTTATTTCCCCCTCCCCGCCCCTTCCCCGTTCTTATGGGTGATTCGTAGGGACTACGAGAATATGATCCCTACATACTACATTCCCTTATTCCCTGCTAACCACCAGTAAGTCTATATAAGCACTAAACCCTAAATAGTAGTTTCCATTGTCTTTTCCATTATCCCAATATAACCCGTATATTCAATCTACTTAAGGGGTACTATTAGCACCAATCAATTTTTTCTGCGGGCCAACCTCTCGGACTCCGCGGAGGTGGCCCCGAAGCGCAGCCAAGCGGCCCTCCGCCTACGAGTTTGCTAATCAACTTGTGAAGACATATTCGGGTGTAGGGCTGAGGGTGTAGGGCTTAGGATTTAGAGCTTAGGATCTAGGGTTTGGGGCTTAAGGTTTTGGGCTTAAGGTTTAGGGTTCAGAGTTTAATGAGGGGGATGATGTAGGGGCGGTTCCAGGCATCTTAAGCACCAGGAAATCTTAGGGTGTAGGGGGGTGGACTCTGATACGTCAATCTGGAGATTCTATGAAATGTATAGCGGGCAATAAAATGGGAATTCTGTTTTCATGATGTTTGAGTGGATACTATTATACTGTATACTCATATGGTACTCTGATGCTCATTCGGGGATTCCAATCAATTGCAGGTTGCAATTAAGGAGCCAATGTGCGTTCTTCATCATTCTCTAGTCTACATTGAGGTTTATGGCGCAAGGCTTCCGATTGCGGTTACGCAAGGGTCTAGTTGGAGAGGTTGCGCAGGGTTCGACAGGGGCTATGTAGGTAGACAGTTTAGATTTTGGGTTCAGGTCTTGAAGATTAGGAGGTTTCAGGGCTTCAGGATGGGAATTGTACACGGAGTGCCAGGATATTACTGCAATTAGGGTCCATCAAGGGCTTGGGAGGGGATCATTGTGACAAGTATCAGCATGGGTTCGGGGGTATGACATTCTGCTATGGTCAGATCTTGGGACAGTGATCACAAGAAATGATAACAGACTGTTTATGAACCAGATCCTGCATCACGCTAGGTTCCCAAGAAGTTTGGGTGCCCTAAGTGGTCGCCAATGCCTTTTGAAATGAACAGAAGACGTCTTCAAGGATTCTCAGAAACCAACCTTGACGTGCCCGAATGCTTCTATATTGCTCTGCAAGCATGTCTCTGTTTTGCAACAATTCCTTGAGTGAATGTTTCGGGCGCATCAAACTGCCCGGCTGCAGAGCTCTCCCAAACCAGCTTCCGCAAGGCTAGTGATTAAGATCAAGCTGCGACATAATCGGGGTCGAGGCGGCATGCGCCAAATGAAACCCAAGCTCCAAACTTCTTGAATTCCCAGCCTCACCGAGCCTTACCGACCTCCTTGAAGCCCAAAAAGAAAAATTCCCCAAGTGTGTGCTTCAAAAAATTGCGGTGCTTCAAGCGATTCACCTTCAGCTTCCTGTGCCCAGATCTAAACGACCAAGCCTGCATGCTGATTAGCGATTATTAGACTATGTAACCCTTGTAATTATAAACCCAGCTTGGAGTTGTTCATCTTCTATTGTCTTTTCCATTTGATGCTCGATTGTTGGGGTAGTAGCTCTTGTACAGCCCTTATGTAACCTCTATATAACCCCCAATGAAAGTTGCGAGATTGAGGATGACTTCTTCGCCTAGCTCGCTTAGTACTCAGCCTAGCGCCTCTGCCAGCTCCGAGGACAGGAGAGCTCTGGAGTTGGTAGCAGGTGGGTAGAGGGCCTGCTGCATCTGAATTTCAGGAATTTGGGAAATATGTAGGCTAGTTGTACCTATGAGAAGATGCCTTAGGTTTTCTGTTTTTTTGCGCAGTATAGTTGAGATCAGATATCAAACCATGCCGCTGATTCGCGAGTTTGCTCCAACATCGCCTTCCAAAATGACACGCTTCAGTCGAGTAAAGTATGACCTAATTGCAGATGTTCTTCAATCGGCTTTCTTCTAGCATTTCATGATGACGCCTCACATTGAGGCATTGTGCTGAAAGCCCTCCTGAGCCAGAATCACTGCTGGCTACGTACCGGCAGACGGGCATAAACGCCCGGCCATCAGAAAGCCCAATCGGCAACTCTGAGATCCAGTTGGAGCGCGTAAAGTGATACAACCCCTATTTCATGGAACGCCACCGCATCATTACAGAACCCAGTAACCCTGACTTACTGAGCTCCTGTATGCTTACTTGCCCAACCTCACGTGTACGAACCGAGGATGCCCGGACCGAGGACTCCGGCGAACGCATTGCAGGGCGTCCATCAGTGAAGGCGAGCACGAGGAGGTGCGGATTAGCTCAGGGTCCAGAATTTGAGGGGTACAGATGTGGGCTGTAAGCTACCCTAGACCCTCAACCCGGAAGTTCGATACAGATAGCATGCGCTTAAGATGCAGGGTTCAGGGCTTTGGGTTAACGATTCCTTGCTGAGAGGGTTCAGGGTTTAGGGCTGTTGAGATTCACTAGTTGTGACATGCTTGCGGGAGTTGGGGCTCATGGATTTTCAGGGTCTCGGGTTTTTGTTGCGTTGGAGTTTGCAGAGTTAGCATGTCAAGGTTGCACGGGAATCCCAATGGCTCAGGCTTGAGCCAATGTGTCGAGCACCTATTTGGGGGGTTCCCAGAAAATCAGGGGTACTCTTTTGATTGTCCTCATAGTAAGGATTACAGTATTTTGGGGTCTAGAACGGGGTCCCCCTATGTATCTTCAATTACTGCCAAACCAAAATGTATAGTGGGTTGGAGACTTGGTGCGTAGAGCATTCTTGTTTCTATATATCGCTCTAAATGTAGGATGAGCTTAGCCCGAACACCTAGC